TTTAATAATCAAGAAGCTACCTTGTGTTGTCATCTGGATCATATCAATAGTCAAGAAACCCACACAATGATTCTCAAAATGCAAAAACAGTTTTAACGTAGGAAAACAGCTAAACCTTCAGTCATCAATGATAATTTCAAAAGATTTCCCAATTTGTCAAGCTGTTTTATTACTTTTGCTTAGAGTTCAGATTTTAAAAGGGGACATTAAAAAGTTCTGTCGAGAAAGAGAAATAATGTTGATTATGATGATGGAGTATTATAACATCATTCTTCAGCCTCAGAGAAATTCATCAGAAATAATTCTAAGTTAATTATTCACTTATACTATTTTTTAAGTCTCTGAAGACTCTAAGATATAGTCAAAGTATAAATTAGCATAGCCTAAACTTTGATTTTACCCCCAGTAAATTATGGAATCATTTTAGTAAGATAAAATATTGGATGATTCTTCTCCCCATAAATCACCTGCATCAGCCCCTAAACTTGTGTCTGATCATCACAGTCTAGTGCAGTTATGATCACCAGAAGCATGATCCAGTGCTCCGATCTCTTTATCATTGGTAGGAAGCTCATAATAATAGCCTCATGTAAAGATTAATGAAACAATTCCACTCAAAAACACAGAGTATATGTAATCCATTGTTTAATAGGGATTTCTATGGTTTAGTTTAATTTTTAAATACGGCCATGACTTAAAACATTAAACTGTAGTTTTAATTATAGGCAATTAAGGATTTAAATACAAATGGAAACATTTTCAATGAGATGATAGTTCTTCCAATGCATTTCATCTGGAAATTATTACTCATATTTAAGTAAAATTTAATTTAAGCAAGATGTTTTCCACTGGAACGTCTTTGTGTAACTTCCCCACTGACTTTTAGTCTGCAGGCAGGCTCATTATCATATATGGCAGTAGGCTGTCAAATCCTGATATTGCATATAATCATAAGCAGAGAATGGGATATATCTTTTTATATCTTCAAAATTCTGTAGAATCCAAACCCTAATCACAATGTACACATTGTGTATTAGGGTTTATTAAATTTCTAGGGTCATATTTATCAAGGAAATATATTTTATTGTTGATATTTTTCACAATTTACTTTCAGTGTCAAACATTTTTCTAAAACATAAACTAGGATAGATGGGAAAAAAAGGCCTCCAAGAGAAAAACTTCTGGAAGAATGTAGAATTACCAATATGGTGCTATTATCTCTGCTTGTTTATCTGAAGGGTAGTTTGGGTTATAAAAAAAGTTTGACTCTTCCTAATTTTATTGGCTTTTAAATCTGATACTAATGATTTAATGATAAATACCTGAATAGCTAAATTAGATCTCAGAGAACCATGCTACGTGGGAATCAAGTGACCTGTAACAACAGCATCACATGGAAATGGTATATTGTGACTTTTTGTTTTCCATTAACTAGTGCACTACAGAGATGTGGCTGTGCAACTTTACATTGAAAATGACTGAGAAGTTCCAGGTCTTTTTTATTTGAAATGTATTATACCCCAAAGACAAAAGCACACACACACACACACACACACACACACACACACACACACGAAGTACTCCTACTTTTGTATGAAATCAATACATTTAAATATGAATGTGAATTACAATATCGTTCAAATCAACTAAATTGATCTGTATGTAATTGATCCTCAAAATATAAATAACTTAACATAAAACAAAAAGAACCATTATCACTTCAATATGTAACCAATATAAAAATTGGGATATTTTGCATGTTTTCTTTTTATATCTTCAAAATTTAATATGTATTATGCATATATAATACCTCTTAATTCAGACTTCATAATTTCAAGAGCTACCCATGTGATTAGTGCCTACCTAGTAGATAGCATAGTTTTAGAAGATATCTTTACTCACATTACTATTGGAATTTAGAGAATATCTCATTAATATCTGGCAGAATAAATAAATGACTACATAAATGTATGTTCATTGTGGTGTCAACTTCTTATTGTCAGATTTTTTTTTTATTATTGGCCTTTTCTTCTACTTCTCTTATTGTTAAATAACAATCATAATATTTCCTACATAATAAAAGTCCCTTAATAGATCCTTCTTATTAATCAAATACAATATTTAATAGAGTTATGGATCACATATTTATGGCCAATTTCAAAAATTCATATGTGATATACTGAATTCAATCTGGCATTATCATTGTTGAAGTTGTCAATTGTACTTAGATTTGCATAATTGTGTGTTAGCAGGGTATTTCTGTACTTATAAAAATATTTTTTAAATTAATATGTAAACTTTATTATCAGTAATTACAAACACAAATATGTGCTTTTGTTAGTGAATGAACTTTTGGTCCTTTCAGAAATACACCAGCTCATTTAATAATTCCAAAGCAGAGCTATCGCTCCAAGAAATTTCTGATCGAATTTAGTATAAGACCCAGTAAGGGAACACAAATCAACACTGCTTTTTTTTTAATTGTCTCTATTCCCCACACTGTACATTTCATTTTTTTAATTCTGAATTTCATTTGAATAGCAATTATCTATGTTTAAGTCACATCTCCAAGTCAAATAAGGAAAGCCTATTTTAAATTCACCTGACCTCCAGCAATTTGAAAAATAATTATTATTTTTAAATGTGGAAGTTCACATTTTAAGGAAAATGTGCTATTTTAACCTATTTAAGACTGGGTATAGTGTCAAGAGTAATTCAGATCATTAAAGATATGGACAGAAGCTTAGGGCATCAGCAAGAAGAGAAATGATTATGCCGAAATTTGTAGAAGCATAAAATGGTTATAGAAAGGAGATGGAAAATACTTGCAAATAGTGGCTTCTTCTGCTAATTATAAATATATTTTACTCATTTGGGATTTGGTGGCCTCTCTTACTTATGAGAAAAAAATTGCACTGCTATTTTGAGTTACAGATAAGAAAATAATTTAAGGAGAAAAATCCCATTAAAACTTCATTAAAACAAATCATTGAGGTAGGTAGTTTTCAGTACTGGTCAGATTATAGAAATAATCATTTTTTAAAAATCACAGTTACACCACTTACCCAACTTTTTGCTTCTATCTTTACTCTCCTGGTAAAATCATTATGTGTTTAAAGGGAGAGAGAACAAAACAGGTAAAGCTGCAGCGAAAGGTACAAGGATACAGTCCCTTCCTGGAAAGAGGATTTTGTGGCGAACCATTTCTCCCATAATGCATCCCACAGACCATATATCCACTAGAACAGGAGAGAAGGGAGTGAAGAGAAGGGAGGAAAGTAAAGTTAACTAAGATAACTGCTCTCAGGAGGAGGAGGAAAAAGAACAGTTTGATTAGAAGGTACAATTTCTGTCTCCCACCAAAAGCTAGCCAAAAAGGTGAATTAAAATCAGCACTGTAATATTACACAAACAATGTATAGTGTAAGAACTCAAATTATTTTTTTAATTACTTTGTGAGTGCCTTAGATTGCTTCTTTAGTGCCACAAAGTGGTAACATGGAAAAACAGCAGCTTAATCAAAAGCATCTCCACGGCAGGTGATGGCTAGAAGCCACCAAAGGGTTTTCGATGTCATTTGCTGGATGTAGAGAAAATAATCTTGATCAACCTTTAGGGGTGGCTGTTTCCATTTTCTATTCTATTCAGTTACATGGAATAGGGCAACTAGCGACACCCCTTTTTTAATCCAAAATAATGTAAATGCAACCAAATCCAAGAAACTAGGAAATGGCCGGAAACATGGTTTAAAGGCAGAAAGAAATATTGGAAGGAAACCCTGATATTCAGGGCTTAGTTTTTCCTTCAGAAGTTATTCTTGTAAATAAAGACCAGTTTTAGTTTCTATTTGAAATATTTCAAGAAAAAAATATATAATTAATTAGCATATGTATAAAGGAGTCATCTAGAAGTAAAGTAAAAAAAGTACTAACGGTGTTAAAAAGTTATTATATACATACATTTGTCTCTCAATTGTCATACTTGTTAACCAAACATGCTTCACCTTCTCTTACCAATCTTTACCCTCTTCCAACTCGCTTTTTAGTAAGGACAAAGGGAAATTGGGGGCAAAAACATTAGGCTAAAATGCTCCTTGGGGAAGGAAGGCAGGTTAGGTGGATGGGATAGCTGGGCATGCCTGACGTGGGAGCAAGCAGGTTATTCTGCAGGGTTACTTTCATCCCATAGGTAGGTGGGAGGGCAGCACGAGGGTGCTAGGTATGCTTTCTCCACAGATCTAGAGAAGCCAAAAAACTAAGGCAGCAACTTGCAGTCCTTTCTGGTGAGGGAAGGGGAAGGGATGAGATTACATGCCATCTGTGCAGCAAAGATCTGAAAATCCACATTAGGCAAATTCAGATACCCCACCCCAGATTCTTATAGATTCTTGATTTATTGAATTTTTTTTAACTGAGTCTCCCTTTGATTTTTTTTTATAAATAACTTATGAAGAAAGTATACAAATATCAAACCCAAATAAGTTAGAGGTGGTATTGCCTTGAGAAGAGGACCAGATTTTCCTCTTTCAAGTCAAAACGTAACAGAATTCTGCCATTGCTCACCAAAGTAAACCTGACCTTGCCAAGAACTTTTTTCCCTTCCTCTGCACAAATGCATGAAAGGATTGGCTCTCTTCTAATCTGCAAGTCAGAAACTTTTTAAAACTTTGGTGGCCAGGGAATTTTCAAAAAAGTACTCTGTATCACCTACACATAAAAATACAATGATAATTACTCCTCTAGAACTTATAGACTCCTGGGAACTAAACAGAATAGAATATAAAAAAAATAAGTATGAAAGGTACATTGAGTACATATATAAATTCTAATATAAAACTATTTTAATTCTTAAATATATTGGATGTGTTTTTAATATACTGCATTACTTGTTAGAAATACTCTTTTCAAAGTTAATATATTGCAGTGCTTTTTAATATGTATTTCATGAGTCTTTCATTTCAGTAAAATCAAACCGAAATACATTTTGAAGATTCTTTCTACCTTTTCTTTTAAAGTGCTCATGAGTACTAGCTTTTCTTTATGAAAGCAGTAGTGTAAAATTTAATATTTTTCCCTCTCGATGGTTTTGGAATTTATAAAAACTTACTAGGCGATTGCTACCTTAACAATTACTTACAGAACAGTTCAAAGTGTTAAAGAAATTCTTTTCCAACCTGAACACTTTGGATTATTCTAAACTGACTATACATTGAACATTTGTGAAGATTCTTGCTCCAAGGATTTGTTGTATCTTTTTGTCTTTTCCTAGGACTAGAGCCATCAATCTAAGAGGTAACATAAAGCCAGAGGGCTAAATGGAGTAGACGGATTTCTTTCTGTTTATACTCACTTTGAGCTGAGCTGCCACCTAAAAAGCAAATTTTCTCAATATCTACAGCATCTATGCTAATGAGTATCCACCTGACTGTTTAATCAGGCTCCGCTTGTAATTCGTGTTAGCTGTAACATTTCAGTGCTCTTCTAGCCAACCTTACTTCTCAGAAACATCCTTCGCATTTTTAACGGGTGAGTCTTCCTAGCAGTATTTTTGAAAAACTTCTGAATATGAAAGCTGGCAACTCTATTTTTTTAAAAAAAGTACTCATACAGACTGAAAGAGAACATTACTCTCGGCTATCTAAAACTGTGTCCTCATTTTCTTCACAGTTTCTGTGGCTGCTGCTCAGAAGCGTCCTTACCGTTCTCCTTGTAGCCCATGCCCAGAATGACCTCAGGGGCCCTGTAATAACGTGTCACCACATACGGAGTCATCATGAAGCTCGTGCCTGCTGTCCTGGCCAGTCCAAAGTCTAGGATTTTCAATGTACAATCAGACTTGACTACAATGTTACTTGGTTTTAAGTCCTGACAATAGGAACAAGAGAAGAAATTAAAAGCCAGCCTCAAATGGAATATATGGTTTCCATCTACCCAGTCGACATGGCAGCCTTGCAATAGCACAGATGGGCCCCCCTTGACTGGAGAGCCCTACGAAAAGCAAAAAAGTGCTGCCCCTGAGAAGTTTACAGTTAGCGTTTCGATTTTTTGTTTTAATATCTTCAGAAACTTTTTTAAACTCAGAAAAGAACTGTATCATTTTTACAATTTAAGCTCATCTTGGAAAGAGGTTTTGGAAAAAAAATCATTTACTGTCATCTGTTAGGTTTCTCCTTATGGCAACATGAACCTTTCAGCTTATATTTCGTTTCTAGGCCTGACAGAAGAGCAGATCAGGGCAGCTGTCTTTATGGACCAGAAGCAAACAACGGAAAGGAACTGTCTTGTTTCAGCTGCACCTCTGACCTCTGCCAATCAAGGGGCTAGAAAGCACAAGGCTTCTCAGAAGCTGACTCTCAATGAGCTGAAACAAAATATTAAACAAAATCAACTGCAGGGTGCTGAAGCTTCCTCCTACACAGTAGTGATTCTGATTAATGGCTGATTCTATAGGAAAATAAATGAGGATGCATATTATATTTAACCAAGCTCATCTACATGAAGAAAAGAATCCACAGTTGCTCTTTCTCTTCTCCACAAGCATCTTAATTATCATTCTGAAGTAGGTGTTCTTACCCTGTGAATAATTCCAGCAGAGTGAAGGTGCTTGATGCCACACAACATTTGGTACAGCAGGTAAGACATTCGCTCATGGTCTAACTCCATCTGAATCACCTGACACAAGTTGGCATCCATCAGTTCCATTACTAAGTAACTGCAAGGTGAATCCACAGTGTTAGTTCCAAATCACAAGGCCTGTGAAGTGCTTCAAACGAGTCAGAATCCTCTCCTAAACCAGTAAGTCTCCCCAACTTTCCAGCTCAACTTCTGACAAATTAAGAATATGAAAAACTTGCAAGTATTGCATGCATGTTACCCATGGTACCCCTACCACGTGAGTGCTAACAGAAGTAGCATTTATTAGTGTGTGGTTCCTGTCCATATATTTTCTACCTTCATCTTGTTCTCACTTCACCCTGAATTCTCTGAACTCTTCCTTGAGTATTATGATTACAAATAAAAAAATGCAGAATAGCATCTTCCATTAAATGCAGTGTATGTGTGTGAAACAAAGGAGTCATTTCCTCTCCTCTGCTTATTGTCACTATACTTCTGGTAGGTTTTTTGGGCACAAAATCAAAAGCACCACAAAAATAGAAATGAAGGCTAAAGATGATTTTTATCATGTCCCTTATTAATATTTCTCAAAGTGAGTTGACTCATTCTAGAAAGCTCACAGAATAAATTAAAAATAATAAAAAATGTAAAATAAATAATAAGCTTTCTCTGATTCTGATAGAACCAAGAACATGGGACAACAAAGCACAAAGAGCCAGAAGTTCAGAGAGTAGCAGAAATGTCTTTCCAGGAGGTAACACCAGAAACAGAGCTTCCTGTCCTATCCCTGGATCCTTTCCATTTGCTGCCAGTCCTCACCTCCCTTTGGTGTCCACAAGGGATTGCATTCATTTAATTTTTGTCAGTATCACTTGAGTTATCTGAATGCTATGCTCCCCCTTCCTTCACGAGTTTTGTTACTTACACATCTTGGAACTCCTCCAGCGTTTTCTGGGGTGTGAAGACATTTAATAAACTAATAATCTGGAGAAGGGACAGTGGAAGGGATAGAAGGAGAGAAAGAAAAAGGGAGAAAATTAACTATTTAAAAAACATATTTAAACAAGTACTTATTCCAACTCAAAGTCACATACATACTAGTGCTATGGTGGAAACGGAAAAGTTGGAAAAATTTTCTAGAAGTATCTCACAGAACACAGAAAACTGTATTCAGAAAGGACATGCAATCTGTCTTCAGGTTAAAATCAATTAAAAATTGGACAGAAAGAAGTATCAGAGAAGATACATAACCGTGATATTGCTTTAGAGTGTGGTCCTCCTTGGTAAATATAGGTTGCAATATAATTAAACCAAAAAGGAGGAAAAGCCATGTAAGAAAAGTAAGGCAGCAGTGAAACTCCCAGCAAGACTTAGCAAGGCCACGTCCTCCTTCAAACAAACAAGGTGGAGTCCTAAGGCAGTGTTCTAAGTCAAGGCAGCGTTCT